TGAATGCTACAAGATTTTACCAAGATACTTACTACGATAGTAGTGATTGTAGTGATTATTTGTTGTACTTGAGTAGTAGTTATAATGATTGTCTAAAATTGAAAAAAAAAAATGCGTAAAAACTATGAATGTTACAAGATTTTACCAAGGGCACGAAAATCTCGAAAAAGGATTGATACATCAATAAAAAGAAAATGAATTAATTCCAGCGACCAACTAAAAAGTTCTGGTAACTCTTGTAGCAAGACACTCAAGAATGTACCACTAGCTCGAGGCAGATGGAAGCGGTTGCTTCATCAAAACATGAGTTTTACTTAGGAACAAATCCACAGCAAGTTTCATTAAAATCCATCGTAACATTCTCCAGATATTACAAAAAACATATTTTGTTTTCAAGAACTTTGACAGTCAATAGCAGAGGAACCAGACATTTTTTCTTACTTGAAGTTAGGTCAAATCCTCTTCGTTTGAGCCAAATAATATCGCAGTACCTTTTTGATCATGTGCTTATGGGACACCCTGTATAGGGGGAATGAAAAATAGAAGAACAGAAGAATAAAAAACTGGCTGAGAAATATACTATGGTACAAAATCGTCTCAATGGCCTAGCAATGTTGTGTAAACACAGAAAGCTTATTTTTGACGACCATGAAGATTTTATTAATAAAGTGGTCGACAAATTTTCAAAAAATCCGGAAAGATTATGTTTTACCTAATTTTCGTTGAATTTCTTTATTTTTTTAGTTATTTATATATTTTTTATGTTTTTCTTGTATTAAAAAGGATTATTAAAAATATTTCTACAAAAAAATTCACTGTACCTATTTCTACCTATAATTTATATTTCTCCCATGCTCTCTCTTATCTTGCCCCCTAGCCCATTTGCTGGCGACGCCCTTGCTCCCGAGATACATTAGAAAACATTTGAAGGAACTCTACCGCTCGCGATCGCGACTAGCACGGTCCGCGATGCGACGGGACCGCGACCGCCTAGTGCGTTCTCGCCTTTAGAGAGATAAAATAATATCTCGGTTGGACTCGATTATTTCGAAAAAAGTTTCAGACAAAAATTGTAGGGCACCAAGTGGGCCATTGAAAAGCTTACGACTTCCGGTCTAGACCAGAAGTTGTGTTTTTAAACCGGAAGTAGATTTTCTAAGATGGAAACACCCATTTTTTACCACGGATTTCGATTGAAAAACGAAGAGGAAAAACTTTTTGTTCTTATTATTTTTTCGATTTAACCCACATATTTTGGCCCTAAAAAACAAAAAAAAAACAAGAATCTTAAGACATATAAAAATTGTAGGGTGAAAAGAGAGCTGTCTTGACATGACCTTGACCTTGACTTCAAGGTCGTTTGAAGATCAAATTCAAAATTTTTTTCGGCAAATCATAAAAATCCTCAAAAAATCTGAAGAAATTCTTCATTTCATCGAAAACAAGCACCCCAAAGGGAATAAAAAACTACTACGTCCACGTCATGTCAAGATAACTCCCTTTTCACCCTTTTGTATGATACACTTTTTTAAAATGATCCCAACAAGGTACTCCGTTTTCTCAAGATTCTTGTTTTTTTGTTTTTTTAAGTATAGAAGGTATTTTTTTTTCGTTTTTCAATCGAAATCCGTGGTAAAAAATGGGTGCGTCCATTAAAAAAAATGTAAAAACAACACTTCCGGTCTAGACCGGAAGTCGTAATATGGGCCTTTCAATGGCCCCCTCGGTGCCCTACAATTTTTGTCTGAAACTTTTTTCGAAATAATCGAGTCCAACCGAGATATTATTTTGTCTCAAGATAAATTTTGGTCTTTTTTTATATGGTTTATTTTACTATATGAACAAATCATAACAATATACAGGCTGTTACAAATTTGCTTCTCACTATAGGGGTCTCGGAAACGGTAAGAGGTACGAAGTAGCTTAAATGGAGGCAAAGTTGCGTAATCAGGAGGCCAACATTATGCTTCTAAAAAATCAAGACTAACATGATTAGTTTTCGAAATATTTGAAAAAAAAAATTTTGGAAATCCGTTTTTGTTTCATTTCAGCCTTGTTTGAGGTGATATTGAAAAAAGAAGAATAGCTTTAATGTAACGTTTCGTCTCTTCAGGTCCATTATCAACTTAATTTTTTTAAAAACGACCCTGGAAATTTTATTACATTGCTGTACTGCCTCAGCCCGAATAAGATTCAGACGTTTTGTCTCGAAAAATTCATTTTCAGTGTTTTCGTTCCAAATTTATTTAATTTTTTTATTTAGATTTCTTTGTTTATTGAATTATGTATCGTACACTGTAAGTTTTGTTAGACCCTGTAAAATCCATCTTTTTCAATATCACCTCGAATAAGGTTGGAATGAAACAAAAAGGGATTTCCAAAATGTCGGTTTTTTTTTCAAATATTTCGAAAACTAATCATGTTAGCCTTGATTTTTTAGAGGCATAATGTTGGTCCCCTGATTATGGAACTTCGCCGCATGTATGTACAAAAAGAAATTGAATTGAATTGAAAGAAATTAATAAAATGTTATAATATCTATTTTATATCAGCAAATTCAACTGCTTTTGTCGCTCTTGTTATTATTAATTATTAAGATTTATTTGTGATTTTAATTAATAAAATAATTTGACATATCTGATGTTACAACAACTATTCCAAATTTGGTCGACTGACGTGTAAACACATTTGGGACCATCTTACCCAGTTTCTACGAACTAATACAAATGTTGTCTTGCTTCACCATAACACAAATGCTTCACCCACCATGACACAAATGTTGTCTAACTTCACCATCAATTTTTGACACTTGAAAAACTAAAATTTGGAAAAAGACACATCTCTACGATAATTTTAACACTTTTAAATTAGCATCTTCCTGAATGTAATAGCTCAAACTTTTATGTATTCGAACTACAAAAATTAATGTTTAAATATTATTTAAATCCATTATCAACTTCCAGGCGCATATTGCGTTCAAAGTTAATGAAGTTTTTAAGAAAGTTACAAATCACAGTTACATAGTTAAAAAAAATACTAACAACTTACATTTTTGTTTGTTTTGTTGTCTTTATTGAATACAAGTTTAAATGTGTAAAAACAAACGCACAAAGTTTTTGTGTGAAGAGTCGTCCGAGAAACTCATTTTGAAACATTAAACCTCTCCGTTTTCACTCAATCTTAGTTGAAATCTGATGTACGGGCGAAATTAGGCATTGTTAACCTGGACAGCAGAGTCGTTCTGATAAAACCATCTATAGACTCAGCTCCGCAAACTTTTTCTGAGGCTTCCGTCACGAGTTTGACACATTGTTCAACTGCCTGTATGTGAACTGGGAACGGGAACGTTTTGAATGTTATAATTTAGGCCAATCAATAGAGCATTAAATGAGTGATTCCGTGACAAAAATACTAGTAGCAAACGGATTGTGTCATCATATAAAACACTGTGTAAATATATGTTTATATGTTTCCTAATCCAATTTAATTGAACCATTAATTACCATTAATTAATTCTTTATAAACATTTTTATGCAAAAAACTCATTTTTTTTAGTTTTTGCTTATAAAACCTAAACTAACGAATCAGTCTGAATGCCATAAAAAGACAATTTGTAAGAATCGAAATACGAATAAAACGAGAGGTCGATCGATCCGGTCGGATAATTAGAAACGAAGAAAATCCCGAAAAATCGGGATATTTAGCGTTTTTTTAAATATTCATTACTCTGCCATTTTTTAAGTTGTACAGCTGACCCTGTGCGCAAAAGTAGTGAATTATTTGCACTTTAAATGTGCACAAAGCAGGCGCTATCGGACCATTGGCTCTGGCACAATTGAAATTTGAACTTTTTGGTGCACTACTTTGCAAAACTTCTGGATGCGTTGGAGGTGGTCCGATTTTAATTTTTCAACTGGATTTTAAAAGTAGAAATATATATACCTATTACAAAACGTATATTCTAATTTCCCGATAAAATGATGCAAAATAGGTGAAAAATTCCTCCAAACATGCTAAAAAACGGCCGAGCGTGCGTACGCGGTCGAATAGTAGGGGAAGATTGGGAGAAATAATAATTTATTACCCATGCAGGATAAGTTCTATATTTCCGCTTGTTTTTAGGTCGGTAAATAGCTGTTTGCCTACTCTTTATTTACATTTATTTGCGTGCGGTAATTATACTCGTCACACGCAAATTGATAATAAAACACACAAAAGTTAAATAGGGACAGGCTTGCAAAAAATGTAATAAAATTTCCAGGGTCGTATTTAAAAAAATGAAGTTGATGATGGTCCTGGAGAGACGAAACGTTACATATAAAAATTGATATTCGATAGAAGGCAAAAAGTCATGAGTCATGAGAAAGTGTTCTTCTTTTTTCAATATCACCTCAAATAAGGCTCACATTAAACAAAAACGGATTTCCAAAATTTCGTTTTTTTTTCAAATATTTCGAAAACTAATCATGTTAGCCTTGATTTCTTAGAGGAATAATGTTGGTCCCCTGAACGCATCTTTGCCCCCATTTAAGCTACTTCGTACCTCTTACCGTTTCCGAGATTCCTGTAGTGAGAAGCGAATTTGTAACAGCCTGTATATACCGTAATACACTAGTACCATAAATAACTATTATTTAATATTATTTTTATTATATCCGTAAAGAGAAATAAACCGATGAAATTTGCATTTTTTCTCAGCCTATCTAAAAAATGCCACTTTCATTTACTTTTGTTTTTTTTCCAAAAAATAATTAAATTACACAGAGTAGATTTTCGGGACGTCCTTTAGGGGCTGTATCTCCCTAGGGGGACCTCTCTAGGGAAATTTTTTATAGGAACTTGTCATGTTGTTTCCTGTATAAATCCGAGAGCTTGTCCACATATTCTGGGACACCCCTATAAATTTCATATTTTTGTTTCGCGCAATAAATTAACAAATTCGTTTATAGTTGATTCATATCATTGATTCATATTAGTATCAACTTTCTATTTATTTTTAGAGAGCTGATAATAGAGAAGACCAAAACCGATGGATGCAAGGAATAATGTCAGCTTTAAATCAAAACAAAAATGCTAAGAAACTAAGCCACTTCCGTTATTCTCTAGATGAATTGTCCCAACAAGCACCAAATAAAAATGCCTTAAGAAGAAAAAATACTATACCGCCACAGTCAGACTCATCAAAAAATGAATCCGATAATGATAAAGGAATTATACGAAGGTTGCAAAAAATCGGAGCCCATTCTTATGGTGGAAGCATGGGTGCAATTAATCAAATAGAAAGTAAAAGTCAAAAAGCAAGCAGTTCTACCGAAACAGAAAATTTATCTTCCTTCAAAAGTAGTGTGTCAGTAGAAAACAATCAGTATGGTATGATAAAGAAAAATACTAATTCTGAAAACACTGAAATCAGAAAAGGACCACGCCTTAACGAAAATATTTATGAAAGAATATCGGGTGATTCTTCGATATCAATAAATAGTAAAGAAGTTAATTATTGCATCCGTGATCAAACTAATATAAATTATAATGAAACTTCGGCAATAAATACTAAAATTATGTCATGTGATACGGAAAATAACAGTAGGCCAACTACTTTTCTGTTAGAAAACGAAACATACGGAGGAATTCCGTTAAATTCTGAAAACAATGATTCACAAAATAGAATTAGACAAACTAGTTTTATTTTAGAAAATAATCAGTACTGCGATATAGAAAAAATAATAAAATTTCCAGATTCAGAAGTAATATATGCAGAACCAAAATGTAGTTCTGCCACTGATCACAATAAAAATAATTTGACGTTAAATAAAATAAAAGGAGAAGAAAATGCATACTCGATTATTAAACTATACGATTCTGAAAAAAATACTGTTAATTCTCAATATGAAGACACAAAAAAATGTGGAGATTATTTAGAAGCAAAATATCAATCTAAGAAAAATACAAAGCTTAAAAAACACAAATCTAAAAACCAATCCAAAACCATTATAAGCGAGAATAAAAAGGAATTCAAACTAAAAAAGTCTTCTAGTTTTATCAATAGAGTTTGGAGAAAGAAAAAAAAACACACTGAGGAACTGTATGAAAATATTCCAGATTCCCCTGCGGATAAAATTGGATTTACAGATGATGTTGCTGTGCAAATGTTATCAGAACTTCAGAATCTATTAGAAAATAAAATGCCTCTGTTACTCGTAAGTATTGTAGTATTATATATTGAATACAAGTTTAAATGTGTAAAAACAAACGCACAAAGTTTTTGTGNTATATATATATATATATATATAGGATGTCCCAGAATAACGTGTACACCGAAAGACTATAGATTCGTGAACTCAAAATAGGCAGATTTAGGCTAATTCATCTATATCCGAAATCGCTTCGTTTGGCCGTTAGATGACCGCAAAGTTCATGAAAATTTTTTGAATTTTGTAAATGACTCGAATACGTATTATTCGATTTATATTTGATGAGTGGATTTTTGCTTTCAATCTACACATTTTAGTATTATACAAAGTGCTTTTTTTAAATTTACAACTTCTACAAAATTGATGTATGGTGATAATATCCGTTCATAACTTTTCCCTCTTTCGGGCAATAATGACAACTATTTTTTATCTAATAGGTGATACCATTTGGAAGTTTTCGGGCCTCTTGTAGAATTTTGATTAAATAAGCGGTTTAGGTTACGACGATAAGATATACCACCTGCTATTTCATTTTTCGACATTCATTCAAACGGCAAATTAGAGTTATTCACAATGTGCCTAATTTTATTGAAATAATTAGAAAATACAATCAAATACAACGCATTGATAGCATTATTACTGACCCTGTTATTCTACGAAATAGAGTGAATGGGGAATTTTATTTAGAATTTTTGCAAAACACTACCCGAGTTATTAGAAGAATAACGACACGTTATTATTCAGACCTAACAAGTGGTTTATGCATGATGGAGCTCTACCATATTTCACTGTAAATGTCCGGCAGTATCTGAACCAAAGATTTTCGTATCGATGGATCGGTAGTAGGGAGAATACTACTGTTAACTGGCCTGTACGTTCATCAGACTTAACACCTTGCGACTATTATCTTTGGGGCACTCTGAAAACAGCAGTCCACATTTAACACTGAAGGAGAGTTTTGGAGGCATATCGAAATTACCATAAATGTTTTTAACTTAACTTTCTTCGCTGAATTAACCTTTGTTGTAGAAACAATGGCCATGATTTTGAACAGTTTTTATAACAAGTTGTACTAAATTTAATAACATCAACTTTGTTGCTTTTATCTCCAGCATTTTTTTGCATTTGATTGTTTTTACTAATTATCTCGATAAAATGTTGTAAATAACTTTAATTCGTCGTATGTGTGTGTATCCATATCGAAAAATGAAGTAACATGTGGTATATCTTATCGTAGTAAAATACTCATTAAGTATTGGTAAGTACAATGTCTTAAAAATCAAACTGAAATTACCTACAAAATCAGTCAGCAAGATAATGTAGACATTTAAAAAATATTATTTTTGTACCCAAACCGCTCATTTAATCAAAATTCTACAAGAGTTCCAAAAACTTCCAAATGGTATCACCTACCAAATAAAAAATAGTTGTCATTATTGCCCTAAAGAGGAAAAAGTTATGAACGGATATTATCACCACACATCCATTTTGTAGGAGTTGTAAGTTTAAAAAAACACTCTGTATAACACCAAAATGTATAGATCGAAAGCAAAAATAATTAAAATAGATTAATACGTGTTCGAGTTATTTGCAAAATTCAAAAAATTTGAGGTCATCCAGCGGCCAAACGAAGTGATTTTGGATATAGGTGAATTAGCCTACATCTGCCTATTTTGAGTCCACTAATCTGTGGTTTTCCGTTGTACACGTTATTCTGGGACAGGGTGTTTCACGGTGACGGAAAATCATTAGTTAATACCTGAACACTTTGTACATAAAAGGGGTGTAATAACACAGAACCACAAAAAAAAAAGTTGAAAATACCAGAGACTAGACCCATCTATCCTTATGTATTTTGACGCGCTGAAACCGAATCCGGAGTCAAAATTGCTCCATCACCCTCCAGCTTTTTTTAAATCGCGAAAAACTACCCAAACAACACGGAAAATCTTCAAATTTCGCGATTTAAAAAAAACTGGAGGGTGATGGAGCAATTTTGACTCCGGATTCGGTTTCAGCGCGTCAAAATACATAAGGATAGGTGGGTCTAGTCTCTGGTATTTTCAACTTTTTCTTTCTGAATCTGTGCACAGACCCACAGAAAAAAAAGATGCACAGGATCGGCTTACATTTATGGTTAATTTTCTTAATTAATTTTCTCGAAAAAAAATAGAAGCTCTTAGACCATCAGTTGCTTAATAAAAGTTGCTCATTTTCGTGCCCTCTATCACCCATTTCAAGGAACGCACTTATTTCAGATACACCCTATATATATACTTGATAGTAATATCAATTTTAAGTATATTCTACAATTTTTTGTCTATTTATTTCAAATATTTAAGAAATAACTTACGTTAGTTATCTTGTTAGATTTTTATTCTAAAAAATAATGGCATTAGATTTGACAAATAAATTGTCCAATTTGTTGTAAAAAGTGCCACAAATATGAGGAATTATCACAAGTTCTTGAACAATCTTACTATTTAGCGAGATAAAAATAAAAATTACTCGGTTTAAAATTCCATTAGCTCCAGTAATTACTCCTATTATCCATGCTCCCTAAACTAAAATTGTTGCAGTTTATAATAAAGATCAATCTAGATTTTCCAACTCGCAACCTATAAAGAAACGCTTCATTGAATAAAAAAATCCCCTTATCTGTAGAAATCCTTTACAGTAAGTCAAGTGAATAAAATACAAGGTAAAAGATTACCTGGCTGTTGGCATTATGTTTCGTTCCAGAAAAATCCTGCAAGTTGTGCTGCTGGAGGCTTACACCGATTGATTTATTGATTTATTATGTCATCCCTTGTTGTGGTTATTCTCGTGAGTATCGTTAGGTGCTAATTTTTAGCTTGAAAGTAAGATCTATAGTTTGTACAAAGTATCTTCTGCTGGAGCTTTTTGCTTAAAAATATTAAATTCTATAAAATTTAGACGTGAATTTTGTACCTATGTCGAATTGAATTTATCAGTATTTCAAGAATTCAAAATATTGAAAAATTAACAAGAAAATTTAAGTTTACTTAACATTAGTGTAATATTAGGTAAAATGGCATTTTAATCAATTTCATTACACCGGCGTTTACAAATACACAATAAAAAAGTTAATTTGGCAGCAAGTAATGCTAACTTTATCAAATTAAACCTAATTCCAGATCGATGGAACAATATGATTTTATTTACAATGTCAGCAATAAAATATGCACCATTTGAAAAATTGTTTAGATATTACATTAAGTAATCGATTTTTGGAAACTGTAATTGTTGCAGTTGTACGCAACAACGCAACCGCATAGTGTGTTAAGAGTCTGTTCTCTGTACACTGCTAAGGTATCGCTGCGGGGTCGGGTGCACGGGCGTTACAGCTGGAGGCGGAGACTATCGCTCTCCCACTACGATGATTTTACAGTGGACGTATTTAGGTTGATTTAAACGTGAAACTAACGTTACAATTTTTACTTCAATAATTGTGTCAATTTAGAATTAATACAATTATTGTACCGCAATTGTACAAACAAATTTCATCGCAATACAAAATTGAATANGACATTCGTGCAATAAAGTACCTGGCAAATTTTAGCAGGTCGCTTCCACCGTAGTAGCCATTTGAATGGCATAGTGGAAATCAGCGCGATAGATGGAGCCTTTGTGCTTCGCGTACGATATAATTATGATAAAATAGAAACAGGTAGTACGTCTAGCGGTGAATTTTTGTAAATTAAAAACAGAAAGGACATCTAGTAATTTTATTGGAAATTATATTTTAAATGTGTAGAAAACTATTTTAAATGTTATTTGTTTCTATGATAATTATTTGATTAAATTATAATATATTTGACTTAAGTTTTTAATGTCAGTTTTGTCGTTAATACTGTTTTTATTTTTTTTGTATTTAAATCATTTCTTGGATTAATCTTTTGTTATCATTTAGTTCTGTGGCAAAAATTTTAGTTTGATCAAAATTAAAACTATGTTTTTTTCTTTAACATGCTTGTTAAGTGCTGTTGCACAATTTTTAGTATATTTATGGCCCTTTAATCTATTCTCTAAATTTTGTGCTGTCATACCTATATAATGACCAGTGCAATCATTGCATGGAATAGAATATACTACGTGAGATTGTTTTGGTATAGGAGTTTTACTTTTTAAAGGTGTGAAAAATTTATTTGATTGATTGAACGATTTATGAGCAACTAAAATATTGTATTTAGATAAAATAGATTTATTTTTTTCGGATAAAGATTGTACATATGGTAATGCAATATATTGAAAATTGATAGAGTTATGATTAGAAATTATTGGTTTTTGGTTTTTGGATGTATTATAAAAATTGAAGATTCTTTGTTTGATAATTCTGTTATAAAACTTGGGAGGATAATTATTATTTAGTAATATGTTTTTTACTTTATTTATAATTTTAGGCCTATAAATAGGACTAGTTAAATGTAATGCTCTATTGATTAAACCAATAACTACACTTTTTTTGTATGTTATCGGGTGGTGAGAATTGAAATTTAAATATCTACCTGAAGAAGTGGGTTTTGTAAACCATTTAGTTAAAATCTGATTATTTTTGCGGATTAAAGTCAAATCGAGAAAATTAATTTTGTTTTTATTTTCAGTTTCGATAGTAAATTGTAATTTTGGATGAAAATTGTTAAACTCATTTAAAATATTATTAATTTTATTTTCGGGAAGTGCGATAATGCAATCATCAACATATCTTTTGAAAAATAATATATCAAAATTTAAATTATTAATTACTTCTTCT